TGCGACTTTTCCCCCCCTTTGATGAGACTGCAGGGGTCGGAGCCCTTCGCCTCGCCCTCCGATTTCTCCTGGTCTTCGGAGACATGAGGGACAAAGCGGGGTGCCCCCAACTTACTTCAGTGGGTTCACTCTTGGAGACGGGAGAAATAAAATCCTGTGCATGAAATGTGGCGGCCCTGACTGGTTCGGCCAACACATTTAACACAGACCTTGCCCTTGGCTTGCGAGCTGGTATGATCTCAGCCTCCGCTTTTCCTACAATGAACATAAGAGGCGGTGAGGAGAGGAGGGTGCGGTAAGTGATCCTGACCTGACTTTAGCTCAAGTTTACCGTCTCAATTCAGAACCCAGCTAAGGGCCAGCAGCAAATCCATTTCGGCTGATTTAGTCCCCTGGAAGTGAATGCGACCCAAGGCTACACTTCCGCGCGCTTACAAGGGCTGAAGCCCCATTGAAGTCAATGGGACGGACTTCCCAGGCATAAGGTCGCTGTTTTTCGGGCTGTTGTTCTACTTGTACTTACCTGGGAGTAAGTCCCATGGAACACAGAGAGATTTAAGCATGCGGGGCTCGGGAGCCCTCCTAGCTAACCCCAATGTCTGGGGGCAGGGGGAAGCATCGTTATATCCGAGAACTTGGATTTGAGCCGATCCTGAGCACATGGACAGAATCGCTTTCCAAGGAGAAGCATTTAGGATCAAGGGGTTACTAGTCCCTGCTGCTGGTTCTAACCTGTTTGAACTGCAGGTAATTCGATTTAACCGGGAAAATGGGTATCTGTTGTGGTTTTACCAAAACAAAACAAAACAAAAAACATCCAACTCTAAACCAGTTTGATAGTGGAACAGGACTTTGGATGAACCACTGCAAGGTGGCGATAGGCTGAAATACACCTTCATAAGCATCATGCACTTAGCGGATAGCTTCCTGTTTTAACATTTTAACACCCAGGGTCCAAATCTTTCAAGGACCAGAGTTATTCTGCCTCTCGCCTGGTTCCTCCCCCTCTCTCAATATTCCAATAAGTTTCCTGAATTGCTTTACTATTTCTGCAACATACCAGCTTTTCTGTCTTTTAGAAACCTTTCCTATCTCGGTTAAGCTCGAAATCATGATATTCCTAACAAACGGATAAGTCAATCAAAGTAAGTAGGTTTCTCTCTCCCCTTTCTCTCTGTCTTGGATAGCCCTGTTTAAAAACCACGTTTACGTAAGGCCCACATAAAACAGGGTCACGATCCAGACCAAGTCCCGTCAAAGAAAGAAGGAAGCACGTGCCTCGACCTCTTCTGCTGGAAATTAGTGGGGCTTTCACGTCGGGTGGATCAAGTGCCAAGCCTGATCCCACGACCCCTTTCTTAAAAGTAAGTCCATCGGGGCTTACTCCCAAACAAGCGGGCATAGGCTTGCAAGCCTTAATTTCGCGTGCAAGGTGGCGAGGGTCGGGGTTTCACTAGGAATGCGGTTTACATCCCACGAACAAACACGCACAAACGCTCCGCATTCTGCTTAGCAAGAAGAAGAAAATTCCCCAAATGAAAAAGTCCCATTTACACGCACACGCACTCGCTTCCCCACCCCCTACGTCCGTTCACAACAAGCCACGGGAGCAATGTAATTCGGAAATCCCAAACGAGTTTGGAAATGGTCAAGAAAAATTCCAGGCACGTTGCTCCTTAATCCCAATCAAAGTTTCAAAATTGTATTTTCAAGTAAAAACAAGTTTAGAATTCACCTCTTCTTAATTCACGCCTGACTAACCTGCCCCGGAGCCAAGCGAAAACTTTTGAATGCGCCAAAGGTGACGCGGGACCCCTGTTCGCGAGGGCAGAGAAAGGCTCTTTTCAACACATTAACCATCTACTTAGGAGTCGAGGGGAGGAGCCGACAACTGATTAGGGAAGAAGGGGTTTGTGAGGTGGCTTCGGACGGCTGCTTGGTTGTCATGTTTGCATTTAAAGCTACAGACACCCCTCATCCCCCCCCAAACCCCCACCATCACCCCACACCCCAAAATACCCAAACACCCTAAAGTGTCCTAAACTGCACTCTGGAGTTTACTTAAGCAAAACAAATTAAAAAGTCGTCAAACTGATTTCGGAGGCGGGGAGGGAGAAGGAAATAAACACGATGGAGAAACCGTGTTGGAAAGCCATTTCCTAATGGTGCAGAATTCAAGAGAGAAGTTCTGCCGATGATTCGAGGTCAATGCCCACTTTCCAGCCCAAGCGCCTAAGGAGAACCTCTCGACCCGTGCTTCTTCCGAAGTAAGGACCGCCAGTTAGGTCGATGCCACTTACTTGCAGGAAAATTGATTTGGTGTCACACAGTGAGGAAGAGTATCCGAACAGCCTAGAGTTAGAAGGGAGCGCGGGCTAGGAATTATACGCACGCACATATGCCTACGCTTACGCACGCACTTCAGACCCTGCAAACCTCAAGTTATATTTTTGTCCGGAACGTGGGGCGTCCCAACGTTTTCTCACAGGTCCTTCATCAGAGAGCAACATGCCACACAGGAGAGAAAACACCAAGTAACCCCTCGCTTCAACTCACCCATCTACAGTGGTGCAGGCACCCGATTGTCTGGGTACAAACGTACATGCCCACTCTGCGCAATTTCGCACCCAGCGCCTCAATAATATTGACTAAGAAGAAAGCCTCACGGATTGCGATGGGGTTCTAGCGGGCTGCAAGCCTAACACCACTGACCAGCTAGTAAGCCCCATTGTATGCCATAGGACTTACTTCTAAGTAGACATGATCAGGGTTGTACTGTATAACAAGTAGCCTTGCAGGCTTGCATCCCGATCCTTAAACATACACTCCTTTGGAAGAAATTACCATGGAAGTCAATGGAATTTATTTCCAAGTAAATTTGCATGAGGTTACAGGTTCGGGCAGCTTTCTTAGCCCTGTGCAAACCACAGGCACACTATATGGTCGACCAAGCTAGGCTCAGGGGCTTAACCTTTGCAGCTCAGAGAAGTCCTACCGGACTTAACGGGACTTACTTCAGAGAAAGCTCTTTTTTTCTTTTCTTTTTTGAGAAGTTAAGGGAGCAAAAATTGGCTTAACTCCGAGTGCTTCGGCTTAACGGGCTTGCTAGCTTGCATAAAGGGGTGGAATCACTGAATCAACACGAGAAGAGATTTTTAAAAAACTAAACAGCATTTCTTTGCGGCTGTTTCTACGTGCAGCAGAGGAAAAACACCAACGTCACTGAATAGATAAGAAAAATGGAATACTGTATTTGATTTTTTTTTTAAGAAAGTTTGTACATATAGATAAACACGCAGTAAGGGAAACAGTGGTATAAGTGTCCTACGTGGAGTTTTAGAAGAGACCCCCAAAGCTGCTATTTAAATACTCAAAAATGCTTTTGCATAAGAGGACAGTGGCACTCTAAGCCTCGTTTCGTCTACCGTTGAGGTCCCTTTTGAAAACCTAGTCCATCACCTCTTGACAACTAAGTTTGTGCAAGGAACTCAAGTCAGGGAAAATGTTTTTCTTTAAAAAAAAAAAAAAAGAGGAGGAGGAGGAAGAAGAAGACGGAGGAGGGGAAGAAGAAGAAGAAGACGGAGGAGGGGAAGAAGAAAGAGAAGAAGAAAGGGAAAGAAAGAAAGAAAGAAAGAAAGAAAGAAAGAAAGAAAGAAAGAAAGAAAGAGGCAAGGGAGAAGAAGGCAAAGGGACAGAGAGAAGAAAAGTCAAAGAGAAGAGCAAATATAATATACAAGCAATTTTCTACACATATATTACAAACTGGGGGAAATGACCGCATCATTAAGATATACATAATTCATATAAAATTTTGAAATAAAAATAAAAATCTGTTACAGTCATAACTATTCTTTTTCCACATTTATAACCAGTACCCACACAGGCAGTGACAGACGTGTAGAAAAAAAGGTGCTTACGAAGAAAATGATTGTCTGTTGAACAAAAGAATAAAAATTCTTAAAAAATAAAAATAAAATAAAAACAACGACGGAGGGGGAGAAAAGGAGGAGGCGGAGCAGGAGAGGGGGGATGCATCTAGATTAGACCATCGCTTGGACTTTGAGGGGGGGGTTGGGATTACAGATCCAGAGAGACAAAGATTGATAAAAACCCAACAAAAAAGGCGATAAACATTTGTTATTTCCCTCTTCAAAGAGTTCCTTTAAACGTTTTTCTTTTTAAAAAGCATCTCTCTCTCTCTCTCTCTCTTTGTACAAATTTGATCGGAGTTTTCCTCCCGTCCCACACCCCAGTCTTTTTTTTCCTTTTTGTTCATTTATTATAGAGAATAGCATATCCCCCCCCCTTTTCCCCAGATACAAATTGAATCATCGTCATGCAAAATGGGTGAGATGCTGTCCATGGGAAAGCGCGAACAATAAAATCAAAACGAGGAAAAGAAAAGTAGAGCTGGAACGTGCTTTCGTCCTACAAAGAATACAAATGTCACCTTTCTTTCTTCCTTTCGCCATAATAATATTTATAATAGCAAAGTATGAGCATTAGCAATATTTCTCCCCCCCGCTCCAGAATCAGCAACTGTCCAACTTGTGGTTTGCTCCTTTATGTTTTTATTTTTTATTTTTTTGCCTAAGTGGATGGTTTGTTTCTTATTTCAATCATTTGCTTGGTAAAGGTTTGGGTTTTTAATTCCTTTTTTTTAAAACAACAACAACAACTCTTTTAAAGGTCTTTTTGTAATTTTCTCTCTCGTTGTTTCGCTGCTCTGCCTACGAGTGTTCTGAAAGCGGCTCGTTGTTGCTTTCTTTCCTCGGAGGCCGGGGTAGTTCGGAGAGGGGGGCGGCTGCTCTCGCTCGCTCGGGGTAGGTAGGTGGGTGGGTGGAGAAAGGGGGGGCTTATTTTTGCCTTTTTTCCTGATTGGTTTATTATTATTATTATTATTTATTTATTTCCTCCTTTAAGGGTTTGTTTGTTTTTTTCCCCTCCTTTTTTATTTGTTATTTTTTTTGTAGTATTCTGTTTTGTTTTTTGTTCCGTTATCATACATCACATTCTGAGTCGCTGGAGGTTACCGAGAGGATGGACGTGCCCGTCTCGGCTCGTTCCGTCAGGCTGGAGACGCTTGTGGTGGGGCTGGCCGCCGTGGACGGAGACTCCGCCGAGCTGTGGGTAGGGCAGCCCGGTTCTGACAAGGACCGCATGCCGCTCTGTCCGATCGCCTGGTGCTGGAGCCTGCAGGACGCGGGGTTGGGGGTTGGGGGTTGGTGGGGAGACAAAGGAAGAGCACACAGATCCTTGCTCAGAAAGGAAAGCCACACAGAAAGGGAAAGAGGCGAGACTCCCCGAAAACCCGGCCCTCGAACGCAGCAATCCAGGCGCGTAAAAGCGCATGGCTAGGGAGGGGACCCGGATCCCAAAGGCGCTTGCCAAGAGGGCGCAACAATCCGGAGACACCTTTCCTTTTTCTCCAGCAAACCCTTCCCTCAAACAACCGCTTAGCCTGGTTCATCGAGAATCCTTCCTTCCTTCCTCCCCTCTCTCTTTCTCTCTTTTCTTTCAGCCTGATCTCAGGCCAGCCACGGGGCCCGCTGCCGCCTTCTCTTTGCTGCCCAGCGCGGCGCTGCAAGCCAGCTTCCTGCCTGCAATGGCCCTCTCTCCCTCCGCAAAAAGTGTTTCAAATCAAAGGAGAGGGGGTGGGGGGGTTGTTGTTGGGGGGGGGGAGAGAGTTAAAAGCAAGCAAAGGGACTTCGGAGAGAAAAGGTCGCTTGGAAAGCACAGAGTAAAAGAAACGCTGTAATTATATTTTTAAAAAGAGCGGGGTGGAGAAGACAGAGGGTTTGCATAGGAAAGCAATTGGCACGTTCAGAAATGCACACACAGAGAGCGACGCCAAGGCAGGCACTTAAACGCACAAACGGGCCGCTATCGTGTTGGTTTGCAAAATATTAGTCGGTTTCAAGCTAACGCTCCCCTTACTCACACTATCTCTATCCCTGTGGCCGGTTTCACTTGCGAGGAGCGGCCATCTGTGGGCCTCGATCTAACCTCTAGCGCATTTGCCGCCGCCGCCGCCCCCATTGAGTGACAGTCCAGCCCTAACAACAAACGTGGACAGTCACAAACGGTGGTCTGTAGAAGCAAAGGGTGGCGCCTTCCCAGATAGCCCGCGTGAATCACTTAAATAAATGCGTACCTATATACAGACATACATACACACTTGCAACACTTTAAAAAAAACACCCATAAAATAAACAAGCACCCAAACCAAGTGAGGATACTGTTTTGTGGGGAGAGGGTGTCCACAGAGCAGCATTTCCCAAGTCATCTTCATGCTCAGACTTCTCTCTCTTACACACACACACACACACACACACCCGCACCAGTGTATTTTCCAGCAATGCATTTATAGTTTTATTTATTTATTGTTTTTCTTGGGGCCGACGGCAGAATTCTCAGACTGCCTTTGGAAACATACAGACCGCCAAGAGACAAAGGAATCTCGGCCGCTGCTCTTTATAACAGTCAACAACTAAGTGGATTTCTACAGGGTGGGTGGCTGGGGAAACCAAGCCCAGCGAAAAAAACAATCTGCAACCGCAGCAGAATATTCTGAATACTAACACACAAGGCGCTGGACGGTTATGAACTCTTGAGCCGTTCAGATCAAGAGAGCTGGGGGTGGGGGGCGCTGAGTACACTGAGAAGTTGATTGCACACCCCCAAAGGCCAGTGCATTTTTTAAAAAAAGTGTAGGATCAGAGGCAAAAGAAAATAGCCAACAAATAAACATTGTGCCGAGCCCTGAAATCCTTTGTAAAATGTCTTGAAAGACAGCCTTCGGGCAACTGGATCCTGTAAGATTTTAATCCCCCTCTTCACCTCCGCAGTGAACTTATTTTAAATATATTACATATTTCAATTGCGTTTCTGCACTTTTTATTTCCATACTGTTTACTTATTCCCCCCCCCCCGCCCGTCCCTCCACCGCTGCCTTACAGTTCCTAGACTGACAACTCGGTGAGTCAACCCAAACCTTTAGCAACTTTCCGGCTTCTCTGTTATGAGTCGATCTATTCTCCCTCCATTGATGAAGCTGAAAGGTGTTTTTTTTATTTTTATGCTTTCTTGCTTCCCACTCAACCCCCTGCTCTACATTTCAGATTAAACTTTACCAAAATATACATTGCTATATAAACTGGGAAAGTCCAATTGGAGGAGGTAAAGTGCCACCCTTTGTTTATATTTTCTGCATTGTTTCATGGGACCCTTTAAATTCTTTGTGATCTTATTTATTTCCAAAGCTATTATTTAAACCCCAACATTCTTAAAGCCACGTTGAGCAATAAGGAATGGCAAGAAGATTCTGCGTGGCACACCGACACAATAAAATCACGCCTGCTTACACAAACCCCTGCATATTTATTTACATACTCATAAACATGCATAACTCAAACTAATGACATCCGGAAACAGAGATAGGAGAGGGCGGATAGCTTAAAAATAAATGAATTCCCTTCATTTTATTTTGATTTCCGCACCCCCGCACCCCCACCCTCTCGCCTCTCTTTCGGCAAATGAATTTGTTTTGTTTTTTTATAGAATTAATAAGAACAATAGAGGAACAGCTGCCTTATTTTCGCTCTGTGGAAGAACGCTACGTATTATGATGTTTGTTTAAACTGTTTATAGCTTGGGCGGAGGGGAGAAAAGTTAAGTTGCCAAATACAGCTTTCACGGCACAAATTTTAAAAAAATACATCTAATCCGCACTCCTTCTGCATTTCGCTGCGAGGACTTGTCCCTGTTGTTATTGTTGATGTAGCAATAACAATCATGGCGGTAAAAATAATAGGCAATCTATGAACAAAAAGAAGGAGGACGTGCGAAAAGGAGAATGAAATTTTTAATTAAATTAAGAGCTCCATCCAGAGCTAAGAGGGTTTACACCCATTTCTCTCAGTTGGTTCCACTGAGTGTGGGGACTCGGCTAAAGATAAAGTCCCTTTATTTTGTGGTTTTTGGATCCCTAGTTAGAGTAGGCACACACGCGCACGCATACACACAGAGACATACATTCTGCGTTCAGAAAACTGCAAAGCATTTTACTGAGAGACGGGGTGTCCTATTTAGAACTGTGAAGGAGAGGGACGGAGTTTGGAAAGAATGTGAAACTTTGAACGTGTGGCGGAATCGAGTTGCTTCTGTTGAGCAGCCCATTCGGGACCGGGAAGCGAGCCCTGTCTTTGGCTGTGTGAGGAGCGTAGTCCCCTTGATAGATCCCAGGTGGGGAGGGAACCCTCTAAGGGCCTCGTTTTGCTTTTTAACAGAGCCCACTGACTTCCTTATCCCTGCTGTTGGAGCCAGCGAGCCCTCTAGGACAAGATTTAAGGTTCCCCATATCACACGCACACACACGCAGAACTGAAGCCAAAGGCGATTTTTCAAAGGGTCAAGGATAGCCGCCCTTGCAAGGCGTTCTCACTCTTGGGAGACTTGCAGGAGGCGAGGCGTCCGATCTAGACAAGGCAGGCCCCGCGTGGGATGGGCATGGGTTTGTGTCCTAGCTGTGTGAGCTCCGCACTCCCGCTGCCTACCCTCACCTTCAAGCCTCACCCCCCACCCACACACACACCCAGCTTCAGCCGGCTAGCACTGACCTGTTCTTGGCGGCGGCCGCCCGGTCTCTCTGCCTGCGGTTCTTGAACCAGTTGCCCACTTGCGTGGGGGTGAGGCCGGTGGCCTGCGCCAGTTCCCTTTTCTTGCTGGGGTTGGGATAGGGGTCCTGGAGGTACCACTCCCTCAGGAGGCTGCGAGTCCTCTCCTTGAAGCAGTGCGTCTTCTGCTCGCCGTCCCAGATGGTCCTGGGCAAGGGGAACTTCTTGCGCACGCGGTACTTGTCGACGGGGCCCAAAGGTCTCCCGCGGAGCTTCTCGGCTTCCTGGTAGTGCGCTTCCAGCCACATAGCCTGCAGCTTGCCGTGCGACTCCTTGGTGAACTTGTGGTTCTCCAGGATGTGGTAAAGGTCTCGAAAGTTGCCCGTGTGGAAGGCCACCACCGCCCGGGCGCGCAGGATGGATTCGTGCTTGTTGATCGCCTCGCATGCCCCCGGCGCTACCGGCAGCGACCACAAGAAGCGGCCCAGCCTCTCGATGTCGCCCGTCTCCTCCAGCGTCTCGCAGACGCTGGCCACTTGCTCCGGGGAGAAGTTGAGTGTGGGCAGCTGGAACATGGACAGCTCTTCCGGGGCTCCTCGAGAGGCGCCTCCTCCTCCGCCGCCGCCACCGGCGGATCCTCCGCTACAACCGGTGGCGGCACTGCCGCTGCCGCCGCTGCCACCGCCGCTGCCTCCTCCTCCTCCTCCAGGTCCGGAGCTGCTGCCACCGCTGGCCAGAAGGAGCGAGCGGTGGTGGTGGTGCGGGTCGCTGGGGAAGTTTGGCAGGAAGAAGTGGGTGGGATAGAGCTCTAGAGGGGACCTGAACACCATGGGACCCAGCCTGGCGGACGGGGAAGGGGGGTCGGAAAACGAGAGACAGAGAAAGAAAGAGAGAGAAAGGAAAAGAGAGAGAGAGGAGCTGGATCAAAGCGAAATGAAAGGAAGACAGGAAGACGGAGAAGGCGCAGAGAAAGAAGAGGAAGAGGGGAGGGACAGGGGGATCACGCACCCCACGCGCATCCACACCCGCACCCGCACGCGCAGCCACATAGAGACCCTCATCCAAACGCACACACGCACTCAGCCGCGCGCGCGCACTCCCCTCTCTCTCTCATACACGCACACAAACACGCTCACTCACTCCCACCACCTTTCACACACACACTCGCACACGGGCAGGCAGGCACCGGCTCGCTCGCTCACTCACACGCACACGCGTGCCCAGGCGGGCGGGCAGGCAGGCATCCGCGCGCTGCTGCGGGCTCTCTCCACACACACACACCTCCCGACCCGGGCGCCGCCGCCGCCGCCGAGGCGCAAAGCGATTCAGTGATTCGGCCGCGATCGCCCTAATGACAACAGCCTCATAATATCTCTCCTAAATCCACCGTGAGTGCAGCGCCGAAGCATTTTGTTTCGCTTTTCTATTGGCCCGCCGGGTGTCGTTGTGGCGTCGCCATGGCAGCGCCCTGCCAATCACTGTCAGGCCTGCCAATCATGGGGGACTACGTAAGAAAAAGGGCTCTTACCACGGCGCCCAAAGGCGAAGGGGAGGGGAGTTGGGAAGGAAGAAGCCAGCCAGCCAGCCGGGAGGAGGGGCGGGGGGGGTAGGGCGATCGGAGGAAAGCTTGTGTATGTGTGTTAATCTTTGCAACTCCTAATCTTAGCACTTCCACTTCTCTCGCTGCGTCTCTCGTCCCCCCCTCCAACACTCCCCACCATTCCATTCCCTAAATAAAAATGGTTTTTAAATAAATTCTTTGGTGGGAGGCGGATGCGCAAGGCAGTGCGCAGCGCCTCGTTTGAATGGGATCAGCAATTACACGCGGAATATGACCGCCGCCTTTCAGGAGAACCCCCCCTTTGAGCTAAAGGAAGCGAGAGGAAAGCGGGGAGAAAGTAGAGAAAACGAAGAGACCTGGGCCAACCAGCCCGCCCTGAGCTCGGTCTTCGAGAGAAAGGGCTCCGAACGGAGACCATTTACACATGATTTGCACGTAGTTGCGCTTCATTCTGCCTATCTGAGCACTAATAGCGCCGGGGAAGAAAAGCTAGATGAGATCATTAGGCCCATCCTCAGGCCGCTGACCCTGCCAGGAGCAGCATCTAAATGCAGGGGAGGCGCGGGGAGGGTGGGGTGGAGGGAGAAGGAGGAGAGCTTCCTATGTATTTCCTCTCTCCTTCTCCCTCTCTCTCCCCTGCCCTCCACCCCACCCCGCTCTGAGTTTCTGAGAGGCTGGCCTCACAAGACAAAACTTTGCCAAACTCGTTTTTTCCCTCTTGGATCGCCGGGATCTGGTGCTGGGAGAGTCCCAAGAAGGAACCGCGGGAAACTGAGGCCGACGGGACTGAGTTCCAAATCGGGCTGCGAGCTCCCACGCGCCCTTCCCCCGGGAGAAAACGCCCCACGCAGCCAGTGGAGCTCTGGCTTCCGAATGTGGCCACCACAGGCCACCCTCCGCAGTCTTGACGCGCGGGGCCACAGGAGGCTCCGATCAAGCCTCCTTTCTTTCTTTCTTTGTTTATTTATTTGTTTGTTTGAGGATTGTGGCAGACATAATTACGCTCTGGTGAATTCTTTTTCAGGGGCCGGGTGGGTGGGCTCGGATTGCAGCCCAGAACTTCCCCCAAACTGGTCCTCATTCCCTCCCCCGCGCGCCCCTGGACGCTGCTCACGGATTTTCTTCCCGCAGACCTTTCGCCCTGCCCAAGCGAGTTTCGTAAACCCACCGGGGATATTGCCCTGATATAATATCCTAAGGATTGGTTGCATCTCTTCGTAGGTTTCTCACCCGTCTCAATTCTTTCTTTCTTTTTTAAAGGTCGAAGAGTAATCAAAATATTCGGGGAGGGCGGAGTCTAGTGGAAACCCCATATTTACACTTATATCTATAGGTGAAAATAAATCGCTGCATGCTTATCTCTGGCCCTAAAGCTAAGCCGGCCTTTTCCGTCCAGCCGCCTGCCTCCATTTATCCTTTAGGTGCGTTCCTTTTAAGGCGATTTTAATCGGCATCTTGAGCTGGTAACTCCTTTTGTTTGGTAGCTGCGGCTATGGAAGTGTGATTTACAGAGATTTGTACGGGTCATGGATGTCTTTCCAGCCTTACTGTGTATATTTAGACAGGACTTTGGTTGGTGTTAAAAAGTGTGTATTTTGAATGGGTTCACACACAGTAGCAAAACAATGCGGACATTGTCAAGGCATGTAGAACGCGTATTGAAACGCAGCATCCAGACTTTTCCTAATCTGCCCTCAATAAAGCTGAAATAATTATCCTAAGCCGTCTTTCTAGAAGAAGAGGGGGGGGGAGAATCATTGAGGAATTCAAAACTTTTTAAAAAAAACCCTGGGGGGGGGGAGAGAAACTTTGCTCTGCATTCCGATGCAGATCTAGTAGTACGAGGGGAGGGCTGGGGGGGTGAGACATGGAGCCCAAACTCCTTGCAGACTTCAATGGGAGCGGAGAGGGAAGAGGTGGGGGCAGATGTACAATTAAAATGGGGAAACATCGCGTGACTTGGCTTATTCGGGGGGATAATCATCATCATAATTCGCAATGCTGCAATGAGAGAGTGAGAGAGAGAGAGTCTTTAACCGGACTCCCAAACTGGTCGGGATCTTTTCACTGCGCAGCCCCCATGAAATAAATGCCAAGTGGCAGATGAATAGGTCCAGTTGGAATAGCTATTGGACTGGAAGATCCTGGCTGGATTATGTATTCATCACTTCTCTAGCAAACTGTCAACGGGGGTGTGCTACGTTGGTTCATATTCCTAATGAAAACAAGTCACCCTCTTAATTTTTAGTGATGTACTTAAACACTTCTGTTAACGTATTTGCCGGGAGGGGTGGGCTGGGGTGGGAGCTGAGGAATCCTTCCCTCGCCATCCTCAGTCCCTTGCCCCAGCTCAAATTTCAGCCCTACGCGGTCGGTTTTATGAAAGCCAGGAATTGCCCACCATCGTGTTCAGCAAAAAAAGAGGGAGGGAGTAGGGTTATACAGAGCACCTCATCACTACAAGCATTCTCTTATAGGTAAAGGATTATAGACAAGGGGGAGAAATGAGGTTAATGATTCGGGAAATGGGAAAGCGGGGCAAGACTTCTTTCTTCGCTCTGTTCGTCTTACACGATTAGGAAGAAAGCATTTGGGGAGAAAAACTACCACTAGTCTCCAAACTGTTCTTTCTTCCAACCCAGACGTTCCCTGCTCCCAAGAACCTTTCGTGCCCGTCCGTGTCTTCCAGCGGGACAGCTTCGTAACAGCTGGATCCTACACGTGTCTGCTCCGGAGTTAAGGCCCGTTGAGATCCACGGGCCTTCCTTCGGAGTAAACGGGCCTGGGCCGCAGCCGCCCTTCGAATCCTGCCTCTCTTGAGCAAAAGGTCTCCATACACTTTAAACGTGGGGTTCACGGATGGGTTTGACTTCGACGTAAGGCGTTTGGGGTTGCGGGGATAGAGATGGGGGACCCACACAGAAGTTGTATTTCTCTCTCTCGCTAACTTTCACCCAGCCCCTTCAGGCGCTTAATCGACAAACTATGGAAAAAAGACGGGGTTTATTACACTTCTCAGCTGAGCTCCGATTCTCTCCTAGCGCAGAAACATCCTGAAAAGAATAAATGTCCATATATTTCTCTTGAGTCTTCACGAATCGGAGGGAACAAGCTTCTGCCCTCCCTAGCTGAGGCGTCCCACAAGCAGTGGGGGCTTCCTTTTCCCATACAAGAGACTAAGATGGATAAGGGGCAAAATATGAAAGGACACCTCAGCAGGTGGAAACAAGCCCGGGTCGTCTTCTTCTTCTGACTAAGACGTGTTGATTCTTAGCTCGGCCGTCCCCAAGGCGACTTTCTGCAGACAGCCCCGGACTTCTGTTTCTAACGCATCGTCTGCCATCTCCGCAATGCCGACCCCAACCTTGTTTCTGGATACCGGTGCCTTTGTGGCCCTTGCCGCGGTTATCCTCCCCAAACTCCCGAGCGCGCACACAAGCGCACGGACAGACTTTGGGCATTGTTACCCGGTATCGGGTGGGAGGGGGGGGGGGTCGGACAGCGAGGATAGGCTTTGCCCTAAGCAGGGCGACTGGAGCTCTCCATCTCCCCTCGCCTAAGCCTGTTAGGGACACATTCTCCTGTCCTTAAACGTACAAGCAGATAATTGTTGGCGCGCTATCTTTGTACGGAGGAGGCCAGGGTGTAAATGCCTTTTAATGACTGCAGCTGCTGGCTGAAAACTGTCAATGGAATTGGCGAACACAGAGCCCCCGGAAAAGAAAAAGAGAGAGAGAGAGGAGAGGCGCTTTTTTCCTTTTCCTTTTTTTTTTTTTTGCAAGCAAACTGCTGAGCCTGAGAGCCGCTGGAGTCGGAGAGCGAGCGAGCGAGCGAGAGAAAGAGACAGACAGAAAGGAAGGAGGAGGAGGAGGAGGTGAAAAGAGAAAGAGTGATCGGAGGAAAGATCCCAGCAGCCGAGCCGCCCGCTCTTCCGCCTCTTCACCCGGGCCAAAGACATCAAGCCATGCTGACCTTGAAAATCCTTTCCGGATCCTGTAAGTGGCGGTTTGTTTGGGGGGATGATTTTTTTTTAAAAATTCATACGCTCAAGTCCCACTGGAAAAACTCCTGCTTTTGTTTGTTTGTTCAGGGTTATGTTTTCTTTCTTTTTAAGGATCCATTCCCACCCCCACCCCGCATCTCACTTCCGTGACCCGATGGCTTAAGAACTCGGGGATAGAGTTCGATCCCCATCTTTGCTAAGGAGCCCGGGAGGGGAGGAGAAGGGAGGGAGGGATAGAGAGAAGAGAGGAGAGAGGTCGTAGCGGGTACAACGCCTCTGCTCGCAGCCTGCTTGTCTTTCCTTCGACACGCTTGCTCCTTCCTTGGGGCTCTGCATTTATTTACCCGCCCCCCAATCCCTTTCACCAAAGGGCATTTTGCACCCTGATTTTGAACAGGCCAGGAGGAACAGAAGTCAATTCCCCGGGAGAGATCAGTGGGGCTTGCTTCCCAAATAATGTGCTTTGGACAGGATGGTGGGGCGCGCGGAGTGGGGGGGGGGGAGCCGTCTCTGACCGCTGTTCCACCTCATCACTCTTTTGGAAGGGGTTGTTTCAGCATTTAGATCCTGGAGACGATTTCCCCAGTGCTGGAACTACCTGCAGCACCTAATTTGAGGGAAGCGGGTTCCCAAGTAATTGTCTTCCTCGGAAGTCAGTCCCTTTGAATTCAATGGGGCTTCCCTCCAGGTTGTCCAGGGTCCGCGGAGGAGGCGGCGCTCCTCTTGCGCGCGTTTGCTGAAAAATCCAGGGTGCCAGTCTCTCCTTGGGCAACTCGGTGGATGCCATCCCGCGCCACCGAGAGGCAAATCCCATTTGTGTGAATGGAGCGTGATACTATAAGTGTGGATCCTGAAAGCGTCGTCTTAACACCTAGCATCTCCACCGCGCCTTGTCTTGGGACTCCAAGCGCCTTTGGTTCAAATGTAATAACTGAGGGATGGGGGGGGGGGTTGTCTCTCCTTGTCTGCAGGACTCCTTTCTTTTGTGCTTCCCAGTTTATCCCTCTTTCCTGCAGCCCCCACCTTCCTTTAATCCTGATTCTGTCCGGAACGACCTACCAGGCGGGTCAGATTCTCTCCCCTGCTTTTGTGTGTGTGTTCAGATTGTGTGCTAAAGTACAATTCTGGGCTTCCTCTGGAAATTAAAAAAGTGTTGGGAAGAACAGGGAGGAATTAAGAAAGGGAAACCGGGATAAAAGGAAAAGGAAAGGAGAACTCAGATCAGTCACAATTACACACACACACCCCTAGACACAACAAACAACAACAACAACAACAACAGGGTTTTCATTGAATTACTTAATAGCAAGCAGTGATTATGTCCTGGTACAATTATATCCTTAAAAAAAAAAGAAGGCTCCCTTCCCCATTTCAGAATAAATAAGAAACGAATACATATGTTAGACGTCCTCTTAAGTTTGACCCACTCGGCAGCTGTAATTCAATCCGGTTGATGTGAAGGGTGTGTTGTGCACGCGGGTGTAAAAACCGAAGGCAAAGGACTCTGGCGGGGCGGGGGGGGGGGCGAGTGGGGATAAGTTTGTATTAACTGGCTCAAAGCCACCTCCAAAGGTTCAAGGTGAAACTTTATAGATATATATTTCACGATTTCTTTTCTGCTGGTAATATCGACGTTAAGGCTGCAGCCTTAAACTCCTTTATCTAGTGGTTGAATCCAGCGAGGTTTTCTTCTAAGCAAACAAACGTGTAGGACTGTGCTGCTCAGAGTGACAAAGAAACCGAATTGGGTTCGGTTAGGAAGAGTGCAGAACGTGTGTGTATGCCTAGTTTCGAAGCCAATAAATTCTGTGCGGAGGAAAAAGTTGTCCTTCTGTTAAAAGGAATAGTTGCGTTTCTAAAGTAGCCCTCTCCAATCCCCTTGCAATGAATTTGTTGCAGGGATTCAGACCTCTCCTTTTCAAAAAGGTTTCTCTGGTAGCAAAATCCTGCTTCTCTGACTCGAAATCGAACCCTCTCTCCTATAGTTTGTCCGGGTAGTTCTTTTTTCCAGTTCCTGACAAGGGCACTCTAATTCCCGGTGGAATGTCTTTTGCTTCGAGTCTTCCGATTTCTGCACTATTTTCAACCACCCACCCAACTTTCCCCACGGGGACCTTGGGTTTGCTTGTCTGAAGGTTTGCACTTTCCCCGGTTACTCGGAATCCCAAACCATTTATGCTTCGCAATAATTCCCTCACATTTCAGAGGACTGTATCTCAAGTAACAATACCTCCTGATTAAATGCAGGTACTTAGAAATTCAGTCCCAAGTGACTAACAGTCAGGCGCTCAGACTGATCTTATGCAAACGAGGCTACTCCAAAGTAAGTGTTGATCCTTATTTACTTGTAATTACGCCCAGGTAGGTGTATATAAAATTGTAGACTTATCCGCACCCTATGGCTTCAGTTTAGAATTAGGAGCGGCCCAATTATTTCAGTGGAACTTAAACTGGCTTCAGGCTACAGTCCCCATTATACGTGTGGGGGGGGGAGCAGCATTGGTCTCAGTGGCACTTACTCCCGAGTAAACAATCCTGGGATCCAGCTTCACCTGCCCACTGGGTTATGACCCATGTGTTTAGGATCAGAAGGTGGTGCCCACACCTGCGGGCAAAATCCTGGTTGTGTAAATCCCACTGAGTCCGGTGGAACTGATCTCCTAAGTCACTGTGTTTCAAACTGCAGCCATAACCTGGAAATCGTTTCCCTGCACGGTCTTGAATACCGTTAAATTTTGTTATTGAACATACACACACGCGTGCATGCATATATCAGTGCAGGCGTAAACTTTAAAGAATAGTTACAGTTACTGGAAGACAGTACCTATTGCTTACTCCAAAGAAAACGTGCTTTAAGGATGCTATTGTTATACGCATCCTCGGTAGTAAATATCGCCAGGTACAGCGGGGCTCTACTTCTGAGCGGCTCCGGATCAGGCCGCACCAATCGGTGCAAGGGAGATCCTTAATCTAATTTAGAAGCTGTAATTTAGCTATGTCAAGTAGAAGACACTCTCGGGCTTCTTGGCAAGGGCTAACAAGGGCCAGCCAGGCTGTTGGGACTGATAGCCGCCTCATGATTTAGCCATCAGGGAGGAGGAGAAATGTTAACGTTCCCATGCAAAAACGCAGGGGACAGTGTTAGCCGGATTCTACGCTGGGTTTTAAACAGAAACAAGCCCTTCCGCGCTCAGGAAGCCCAAGGAAAGACGCACGAGGTATGGCAGCCCAGCGAAGTTTCTTCCGTCCACGGGCCTGAAAAGGAGGACGCCGAGAGAGCGCAGGCAAAGCACAGGCATGGCTGAAGTCCGATTCTCCACTTTTCAAAACAAGAACTAAACAAGAAAAACCAGAGTACTACGATTTCCATCCAAATTGTTCTCTCTCTTTTAATTCCCAAATTCCTGGCGCGAGGAGGAGAAGGGAAGGGGGGGGCCCTGAATATCTTATCAATCTCTGGCAGTGACCCTCATTAGGGGGGCATCTTGCTCGAGGCCCCGCCGTTGGAAGAAGGCTGCCCAATCAGAGCGATTGCACGCCTTGTTAGTGATGGCTGTAATGAAGCTTCGCCATACACTCGAAGAAAAGCTCCCTCAATGCCGATTTACCTAATGTCAACTCGTTACTTCTAATGAATCGCATCAAAACCCGGCCCTGAATGGGAAGCGGGGAGCAGGCGCTGAACCTGCAGCCCCTCCGCCCTCGTCGCCCCGCTCTCGACTACAACCACCCTGGGCTGCCTGCTCCCACCTCATCCAACCAACGCCACCTCCTTCCCTCTGCGCCTTCGAAGAGGAACGTTTACGCAGCTCTGGGGGCTCGGGGAGGGGGGGTGGGGGACGACGCTCGGTGGCCCCTATCCATCTAAAGCAATCCGTGACTGGCAGTGCAATTTGGCCCTCACAACGACCCTGTGAGGTAGGCTCAGGCACAGAGGTGCCTGCCCCGAAGCGCGTCATCGCTGGGCAGAGATTTGAACCCGCGTAGGCAGCGCTTGTCTCTAGCTCCGACGCCACTCCTGGCTTTTCTTTTCAGTGGGAATTCCGACCCAGGCTCATCCACATTAAATCATATGTGCGTTTGTTAAGTAGGTATATTGGAGTTTAAGGCAGGGCGGCCGCCAGGCCATATTGCGTCACGGGTGAGACAAGGCAGAAATACCACCCCTACCACCCCCCTACATTTTGAAGGAACTGATCTCCCCAACTTCCCGCCCCCCCAAAAAGGATTGAAACCACCTTCCCTGGATTGGGACCAGCACCTTTAGGGGGACGGGGCCCTCGCGTGGTGCCTGCTGCGTCGGCCAAAAAAAGGGACGTGGCCCCTTTAAATCCGGGGCTCCAACATTCCGTAAGGGAACTTTGCAGCAGTTAAGAGTCTTTGCGCTGCGTTTTCGCTTTTCTCCGAAGGGGCGGGCGCGCCGCCCTTTAAAATCAATTAGTATTTTTCTATTCTGGAGGTAAATTATTCAAACAAATGTTTGGAAAGACCCCGAGGGGGGAATTTGGCCATGACAAAAGGTTTGATTAGCCTGATTTCCTCCTCCCCCTTGGCTCCCCCCTTCCTCCAATACACACACCTCCCCAAAAGTAACAAAGCACAGAGCAGCTCCATGCCACTAGAAGAGGGCCGCGCCAATTAAACGCCAGCCATTCTCTTCCTCGCCCGAAAGTACCCCCAAACGGGCGGTGGGAGCTCGCGGGTCTGGGTGTAGGTTTGTTTGGGGGGGGGAGGAATTGTGGCCTTGGATTTGCCAAAGTACAACAAGAAAATAAAGCAACTACCACAAATATCAGAAGTGTGAGAGAGAGAGCGGGGAGAGCTCGATCCAAACAATAGCAAGCCCTAAATGCAGATTATTACATCCACCGATCCTGGTCCATTATCTGCCCTCCGTACTGTCTATATATTGATTTCCATATCCGCGTTTCATGTCTGTGAAGAGAAAGGGCGGTGGTGGCGGGGAACCAACAGAGTCCAGAGGCTGAACTGCAGTTCCCCTTTGGTCCTTGCAAGCATGGCGAGTGTGATTTTTTTTTGGAGGGGGGGGTTGTTCCTTAACTTGTCCACCTGGCTCGCCATTCCCATTTCACCTAGGAACAACCAGGCTCTGCAAACAAACCCAAGAGTGCTTTGGCAGGCAAGTTGTCGGTGTTATATATAAGCGCAGCTTGGCCTCTGAGCCCTCTCCCCAAACCTTTCCACCTTTCCAACGCAAGAAAAGTACAACCCTGAAAGACTGGTGGAAGAACTAGACAGATTGGCAAAAAGGTAACACAAACATTTTCGGGTGGGGGGGGTACCGACAGCGGAGCAATCAAGGCCCAGAACAAGAGTGCAGCGCTTAAACCTCCACACGCACCCCTCCTGACACCCCGCTTAAAATCAGCTGGGGGTTTTTGTTGTTTCCTCCACCAGAAAGCTTTACGAAAAGAGTACAGTCCCCAGCCAGAGAGAAGAGGGAAAGTGAGGATTTGAGAAGCTTTTGCAAATACCGGTTGCCCTGACGCCAAAAACCCTTACTCCGAAGTAAGTCATGTTGATTTCACTAGGAGGGACACCCTTATTGAGCGCGCACAGAATGGCGCTGTTACGTCGGAGCACCGGGGAGGCGCCGTACAGTATAAATGCTACTCATTCTGCTTCGGAGTAAGGAGTTTCGGGATCGTGGCAAGTCCCGTAACTGCAAGATATTTCAAAGGAAGGTTCCAAAGTGTGGCTGGACTATGTGTGAAATTATTCAAGATAGGTCTACACAAGCCAATATAACCGCTCTAGAGTGGGGTGGATTCTGATTTCCTCTCTGGCACCAGCCTGTCTTGGTGCCGCACTGAACTCCACGCAGACACCACGCTGTAATGTGTGAATTTCTTGGAGGGCGCCGGAATAACGCGATGAGCACGCAGGTGTGTCGCCTCTCTCCGCACCATCCCTGTATTTATTTTAATCAGCAGTGCTGTGGAAGGTCAAAACTAAAGGAAAATATCTTCCAATTTGCAAGTAACCCTGCCAGCCAGGATAATGCCTCCGTTGATTTCCATAGACCTCTCTCCTGCTACAGCACATTTAAGCAGAGACGGTCACTGTGTTACAGAATCAATTGACATCGGCTGAAGTGAGTTGTGGGTGTCACTGCGATCTTTCACAAGCACTGGAGCTTCTGGCTCAGCGGGTGAAAGCATGGCTTTGCTATCCCCATATATAAACTAGTGTTCCCACGAAACTTGAAAATAAACATTTTATTATTATGTTTAAATAATAAAACAACCGCCGCCGCTACCACCACAGCCACCCCAGGTCAGGACTCAGCCAAAGGAAAGCACTTTTCAGTCCCATTGATTTCAAAGGAAAAGGCATGAATACTGTCTAAGTTCTTCCATTGAAGTAAATGGGGATGACTCGTGATTCACTTTGGCTCACTGTCAAGGAGCGTCCAAGGTTCTTCAAAATCTTAACACTCCTAGCACATGCAAGGATTTGGGGAGAAGGAAACTGGGTGATGATGATGATCATCAATTGATGATGATGATTTCTTCCTACAAGTGTTCAAATTCTCGCTGACGACGGCCCAGGAGTAACAGTTCCACCCTGAACAAAATGGGCTGCCCTCTTTATCATGTAAATTGCCATTCACTTGACACCGCACACCCCCGTTTAGCGGATCAAGCTCGGTCCTGGATTACTGGGGAACTTTTGTAAGGCTCTTACTCAGGACTAAACAAATATTTGACAAAACTCCCCAAAGAGAACGCTGATCATCTTCGGCTGTGTCAGGGAAATGACCATTCATGAAACGTAGGGGAAATTTCAGGCATAAAGATACTGCCCTAGGCAGTCTTGCTGGTCAGTAAGTCAGTTCCGTATTTATAATCAGGAATCCCTTATGCTTCAAAGTCAATATGTTGAGGATGTGGTATTAATATATATGCATTTTAAATTCAGGATCCATATGTCCACACATATTAGTTCAGTCAGGCTAGATTACTGAGAATATTATATTAAAATAAAATAGGGAAAAAACAAGAAAAGGCGTGTTTGTGTGCGTGATTTATATCTGTACGATAGAAATTGTTGATACGTGTGCATGTCTACACACTCCAAACTCCAAAAAACTGTTCCATAAAATATATATATATATAAAAATAGCAGGCTCTAAACCGATCTGAGATGCCATTGCTTTTAGTGGTATAATTTTCTCCCGAGAAATCTGTTGAGAGCAAGGGAAGTCACGAGTCTGCTTGTGGATCCGGTGATAATCATAACAATATGACACGGATCGCACCCTGCATGTAGCAAAAGCATTGCTCTCGCTGTGCACACTGCATGCGTCTTTATCAAAGGTCCTAAACAATCACATACACACGCATTCCCAGTTAAAGGTGCATTTCTGTGACATTTCAGTTCTGTCTTCTGAAACCGCTAATTGCTCTGTACTCTATTCGTTTTTTAAAAAGATGTGTACACATCATCAGCAAGGGAGTGAGAGAAAGAGCGCAGGGAAATTGGATATTTTTTCCCTTAAGGAAAGAGAACGGTAGGGAGGGGAATTTCATATATGAAGAGGAAATATCTCCAGGAATTTCTCTCTCCCTCTTACGCCTTCTAAAGCAGTCAAAGGAAAGAAAGGTATTTAAAAGTTGTGAGCCGCTGAAAGGTGCTTCAGAGAATGTTGCATCAAGAGGCGCAGCCCACAATTCCTGTTTGGATTCAACAAATAGGCTTGGGCCGGGAAGTCAGGTGCAATTTTCTTTGAGTTTCAAATGAAAAAAAGCGCTCCCGAGACACTGATCTAGATAAACAGAGGAGGAGGCTCCGATTTCATTACAAATTAGTCGCTATGAATTCAGGAGGGGGGGGGAGAACGCAACCCTGATAATTCCTATCTGAGAAGAATACACGGGTTGACTGCGAAACAGGTCACGCTCGGAGAAGGACCCATTGAAAGCAATGGACTTAAGAGAGGCTGGTTTGACGGGACGTTGGTTTCAGAGGGTCTTCTTCTCTGAGCGTGACTAAATCAGCTTCAGCATGTAAATAGGGAGACAAATAGATAATCCAAATGCAGTTAGGCAGCCATAAGATACAGCAATTCGAATCTAGGGAGATGGATTTAATTAATTTATTGGGCAACCCCCTCCAACTTCCTTCCTTCCTACCTAAAGAACCACAGAGTACCATGCACGGACCCCTGGGAGGACTGAGTGTCTTTCGTGACGCTCCTGCTTCTCTGCTATAAACTTTTTCAGGCGGGCCTCAGCGGGCTAACAAACAGGCTGGGGGCGTGAAAGGCCAGGGGCTGCGAGAATCGCTCTTGACTTCTTAGCAGTCGTTGAGAAAGGATTAATATGAGGGGCTCAGTCAGCAGAGAGGAAGACAAAGTTTGGGACTGGGGGGGGGGAGAGCCAAACAAAACGCAGAATCGAGGGGTGGCGGGGAGCGGGATGCAGGGGAGAGAGGAGGAGAAGGAGAGGACGAAAGTTGCATTTCACACGTGCACTTTGGCTTGGCCCCTTTGACTGAGCACTGGCTGCTTGGTGGGAGAAACACAGTAACAACTCCACTGCCTTCCATAGGAACCTCCCCCCCGCCCCATTTTTCCCTCCAGGGAATCCGGAAATCCATAGGAGCTTTCACCTCC